AGAGCTTTCTCCCCTTCTTCACTTAAACATGTCTGTGCTAAGCAAACCTGCTTCCTTTCCTCTCCTCCCTCCACATTATAGAAAGTTGGAGAACACATAAAAAAATCAAATCAGGGCCCTCCCTGGTGGCGCAATGGGTGGAAGCACCACATGGTGAAGCTCTCCAAAGCCATGGCAGCGAGAGTTCGATCCCCAGCCCCAGAGGTGACCCCAGGCCTCTCCTGACCCACCACCTGCCCCCTCAGCATTGGGCTTTGTCCATCTGCCTGTTCTGCTCCCCACTCTGTCTCTGGGGAATCCTCACACTCTGGCCTGTACCCCAGTTCTGTAAGCATAAATAAATAAATCTTTAAAATATATTTTTTAAAAAATCGAATCACCCACAGCTGTCCTTTTAGAGGGAGGTGGACACACATTTATGTGCAAATGACCTCACAGGGAAATTATCACCTTGACCTGTGCAGCCTGCTGTGTTAGGCAAAAGGCAGGTGGTAACTCCAGGGCTTTTACCGGCAAGTGCCCCCGGGCCGCAGGCGGCGGCTGCGGCGTGGCACGGGCCGGCGAGCACGGCTCAGCGCTGCGCTGGGAATTCCCTGGCCACGCAGCAGGTTTTCTCCGTGAGGCCTCTCAGCGCTCCCCAGAGCCACGCTGTTGCGGGCACCTGCAGCCTTATGGAGCCGGCCGGGCCTCTCTGAGAGCCTGTCCCCAGCCTCCAGCCCCGCACATGTCCAGCCGGCGGCAACGGAGGTCTCCTTTCGCCAGGTCTGGAACAGTGCTGACCAGAAGGACGGAGAAGTGCCCGAGGCTGAGGATGATGCCTCATCCCACCGCACATCCTGCTGGGCCCCTGGGCGCCACGTGGACACTGGGCACTTGGCTGCCGCGGGACGGCCAGGACGGCCCTCAGCAGCCGGCCCTGCTCCCAGAGGGCGCCTCTCCGGGTCTCAGCGAAGCTTAAGATGAATTAAAAGGACACAGGTTGGCCTCGTGCAGAGTCATGGGTTACACGAGTTCTAACGCAGAGAATTCTGGCTTTGACAGCACTAACGTGGAGAAAGCAAAGGCTCCAGATCACGGAGGAAACACGGGCGCCTTCGCTGACCGAGCGTGGGCACATGCCCGCGCGTCCCCGGTGGCCCCGACCAGCCCGGCCCGAGGCGGAGCTCTGAGCGGAACCCAAGGAGGACAGGGCTGCGCGGACCCGCTCTCCAGCCACGTTTTCAAGACGCAGAACACACTGCTGCGCAGCACGCTGCCCTGTCCTCAGATTTTTTAACAATAAAAGATCCTTAAAAAGTGGTTCTTGGCACAAAATAGCTCCTCTTGATGGGGCTAACGCCGCGGGCTGGCGTGCTGTGACGCTGGCTCTTTTCCATGGAATACAGTCAGGACGCGAGCGGGCAGCCGCTGGCCGGGCGCCGGGCCCGTGCCCTCCGCGGCACCCAGCGGGACCGGGACCCCCTCCGGGGTCGGCTCCACCACCTCAGGGATGCCCGGAGGTGGGGGGCAACAATGTGGCCCCAGAAATGTCCAGGAGGCGATCGCGACCTTGGGGCAGGTTACTGAATGGGGGCGCCAAAGAAAAGCAAGACTTAGGAAAGAGGCAAGTGCTTGGGAACGGCCTGGCTGCGGAAGGGAGCACGCGCCCCGCGCAGGCGAAGAGGGCGCGGGAGGGCTCAGAGTCTGCAGAGCTGGAGCCGGACGTCGCTGGTCTGTGGCTGAAACCTGTCCTCAGCCCTCTGCTGGCCCTCAATGCCCGCTGAGGTGCGGTCCGCCTGGCACAGGCCCGAGACAGAGCAGGGAGCGTCTCTGGGGGGACAGCAAGGCGTCTCAGGATGCCTGAGCTGGGGGTGCAGCCATTTCCCCTGGCGCCGTCCTGCGAACATAAAGCCCCGGTCTGCGCAGATTTCACTTTCCTGTGCATATCTGCATGTGTCTCCCCAGTGGGGCGCAGGGCTCAGCTGGCCCAGGAGCGAGCGGGAAGGAACAGAGATGCCCAGTTCCAACCACCCCAGCTCACAGCACTTGTCCCTCCTGGAGTGCCATTGCCCCGACCGCCCAGCGACCACGGCTTCCTATTAACTGCTCGGCCACTTAACTAGAGTATTCAGTAAGCATCAGCTATGTGCCCGGCGAGCCTACTATGCGCCAGGCGAGCCCTACAATGTCAGGACACCCAAAAGTACACAAATACGCAAAGTGATTTGACCTAAAGAAACGCACAACTGAGCCCAGCGAGGGAGCACACTTGGCCTTCATGGATGTGGCTCAGGGCTCTGAGGCCGTGGCCCACCACGCGGCTGGGACAGGAGGCCTCTGCGCCGTGGCTGACAGCGTGTCGCGGGCCGTGGAGCACACACTGTGCAGACCCCAGTGCTGAGTGGGGGCCACCTAGTGAAAACGGGGGGGGCTCGGCTGATTGTGCAGCACGGGTATTCTGTGGTACCCAGGATTTGTTTTAATTCCAGGAAAATTCTACCTCCTGTTGAATAGGTAACAAGACCGCACTAAAAACGGGTCAACAGAAGCGGCAAGAGGGCCTCACGGTGGCATAGCAGGTAGCGCGCAGCACTGCTAGCTGGTGTGGCTGCTGTGGCGCAAGTCCGATCCCGCCCCGGAGGGGACCCCAGGGCGCAGCAGACCCCTCCTGTCTCCCCGCTGCTCCCCTCAGCAGTGGGCTTCATCAGTCGGCCTGCTCTGCTCCCCACTGTCTCTGGGGAATCCTCTCACCGCCCCTGCACCTCTGGCCTGTACCCCAGTTCTGTCTCCATAAATAAATAAATTTATAAAAAAAAAAAACAAGATAAAAGGAGACCAATTAAGATGCTACCTGTGATACACACAACTTCAAAATATATTAACGTCTTCATTTGCAGGCAACAAATGTAATGGGAAATTAAGTGCCGGGAGTGAAAACAAAATCGCTCCAGATCCCACATACAGTCTGCAACCAATGCTGATCCAGAAGCTGCTGGCCCTGTGAGAACACGTGCAGGCCAGTGTTCACGTGCGCTCTGTTTCTATGGCCACTTCCCACCTCCTTAGTCTCTGCTCAGAAGGTAAGCGTGGCTAAGTGACACGGCTGGAATTACCTCTGCAGTTACCTGCCTCCTTAATTCAAATAATCTCATACATGAGACGGTCCTAACATTTCACTCAGCCTTTGGCCTTGACTCCTAGAATTCCTGTATTTTAGGAGCCTTGGA